AATGTAGAAAACATCCAAAAATTTTAAGTAAATGGTATTCTATTATTGTTTAACAGTGCGATTAATCGTGATTCATTTTTTTGATCGCTTGACAGCCCTACATGGAACATATAACAACTCAATGCCCGATTCACAAATAAAAAGGAGGCATCACAGAAATACAGTCTGCTATTCCAGAAGCAATTATCTGGCTTAACCATTCAAATGTAAAATTATAGTTGTTGCACTACAGTTACATCGGCCATATGAAAAAGAAAATGATTTGGGAGTAGAGGGCTTTGCTTCTGGCCAACCAAAGATGGAAAGCAGCATTCCTTATTACTGATGTAGTGTGTGTCTGTGAGTAATGGGACATGATGCCACACTGAGGCTTTGCTCTGCTTTCACTATCCACGGTCCAACACCTTCAGTCAATGGAGGTGATAGATTATTGGCAATGTCTTTAAAATATTTGTTCTCTTCCCAAAAGCATCACTTCTGCTTTTTCTGGAGCATGTTTCAGCTGGCTGCTGTTCTGCATCTACTTAGCTATTCCAGGCTGTGGAACATTTTAGTGATAGTAAAGGTTTCACGGGACGAGTAAGACTTACACTTGAGCATCAGCCACATACTGATGGCAATGGAATCTCTAGCTGCTCACCGTTTGTCCCAGGAGGTCGGTGATAGACTATTGAAGTGGAGGATTGACAGTAATAACCTCAGGAGACGCCACATGTGTGGGGCCTGGGTAAGGATGTTCAGGTGCCATCATGAACCTCTGGTGACCTGTATGGCAGAAAGAGTGGCTGTCTGTGGTGTCATCAGCGCCACATAGCCGACAGTATCAAAGGCCGCTGAGTGATCTAGCAGTATGGCCCTAGAGGTTGTCTCTGTGCCATGTCTTGGTCTGAAAACTGAATGGCAGAGATCCAAGTAATGGAATGTGATATCTAAACTCCAATAACAACCATCATATCACCACTGTCTCAGGGACCTGGCTGAGAAAAAAAGAAGTTGGAAACTGGGCACTAGTTGACAACTTTGTTAGCACCTAGTGTGGTCTCCTTCAAATCTGTCTGGACTATTGCATTCTTTGAAAGCATTGATGATTTCAGCTGCTGTTGGGGCCAAGTACTCGGGATTAGTTGACCCCAGCTAAGACACTGATTTCAAAAGTGGTATGCTGGAGTGTTCTAGGGCAGGGGTCCGACCCCCAGTTTGAGAACCTCTCAGGGGGTCGCGAGGTTATTACGTGGGGGGTCGTGAGCTGTCAGCCTCCACCTCAAGCCCGCCTTCGATTCCATCATTTATAATGGTGTTAAATATATTAAAAAAGCATCTTTAATTTATAAGGGGGGGGGGTTGCACTCAGAGGCTTGCTATGAGAAAGGGGTACACAAGTTTGAGAACCACTGATCTAGGGCTTCCAGGCAGGTGCTTGGCCCAAGCTCTGATAAGGCAATAGTGAGGTATGCATTGGAACCTGGATATTACTATATATGAAAGCTTGATGATGTGGGGATCATAAGGAGTTTGGTGTCAAAGGCAAAAGAAAAGGAGGCACTGGCCTGGAAAAAAAATTATGAGAATCATGATAAATTATTTTATTTCCTAAAAAATACAGTACACAGCAGTGTGTCTCTTTTCATTATTGTTTTTCCACTGAAGAGAGCCAGGGAATGAAGCAGACTGCAGCTGTAATGGTGGGCCAACTTGGGCTCCTCCCACCAGGCTCGGGTGCTGGTATAAGTGTTTATCATATGCCTAAATAAATCCATCTGTATCTTTAAGTAGTAGGTCTGATTTTCCTTTCCTCCATCTTCACTGGTGCCTCCCACAGCATCTAGGTCAACACTTTCTCATTCCTCTTGATTATACTAATGGAGGTGGGCATTATCTGTCCATAAAATATATTGCCCCTGCTTTCCGCTGACAGGCCACAGGAATACCAAAATCAAATACTTTCTAGATTGCAGAAAGCTCCCTGCTAGCAGAACATGACAATAGACTGCCAAATGCATTGCGGCCCTTGCAAGGATCCAAGAAAGCAGTAGAATTAGGAAGAAGTAACAAATAGCAAAGCAAATTGCAGCTGAAAAATAGTAACATTATTCCCTTTTAATATATATGGTTAAAAATGAACATTTTTACAAGCTGAATAGATGAGAGTCCAGATGTTGTCTCCGTATGTCTTATGCATTTCATGATTACAAACAAAGTGCAGAATCCATATCAAGCCATCTAAAATGGTCTGGATATGAGCCCAGATGGTGTCCCCATATGCCTTATGAATTGCACTGTGTAGGGACACAGCAGAGCATATATAAGCTTGGCAGAATTTGATTTTTTTAAAATATAATTTTGAAAGATGTTTATTTTTAAGCATTTTTTACATTTTGATTTATTTAAGTTTCCATATTTGGGGAAAATTGAGGGGTGGGGGTGTTACCAGACAATTATTTAATGATAGATGTTGAGATTCAAAAAGTTTAGGTTTATAACTACTAAAGCACAAAATTATCACATATGAGAACATACAAATAATGTTCCTTAAATTAAACGCTAAGTTCTCCAGCGGTGTCTTTCTTCCTTTGCATAGCTGTAAATTTTGATTATGGATTGAGACATTTTTCCATTGGTTTGTATGTGTTTGGTGAAATCAATGTTTGCTGACATTTTCTGATAAAAATCTAATTAAGTATAGTATCAGAGCTGGTTTCTGCATCATAGGCGTCTTCTTTAAAACATACAAGTTGGGTTGTTGCACTGAAGTTTTCTGCACCATGATCAAAACAGGCCCATCAAGAGTTCATGAAAATAGTTGCATTTGAAAATAATTGACATTTTACAGTCATCCAGTATATTTTAGTAGGAACAACACTGCCCTAGCTAATAGATTTTCCAGGAGGGTCATGACGGCTACTCAAAATGGAATCGTCAATCCTGCATGGTACCATGTACGTCTAAAAAAAAGCCCTCAGGGTAAACAAACAGATAAATGACATGGTAAAAGTGGTTAGTGGGCAAGTTTACCGACTGCTACCTGAAGTGCAATAAGACCAGCCCCTCTGCTGTACACAGTAGATGAAGACTAGTTAAATACTGTAGAGGTACATCATGGAATTCTAGTGCATCCTATAATAATGAAGACAGTCAGTCAGCATCAACTTTTAAATTACTCAGTCTACAAGTAAATAAGATGAACAATCAACTGACTACTGGCCCTGATCACTTGTCTAAAAAAATACTGTACCTATAAATGAAAAAAAAGTTATTTAAAAATACAGTACACAGGAAAGTTTCGCTTTTTGTTTATCCACTGTCAGTTCACAACAAAAACATCTGATCAATTTAACCCAAATGCTTGACTGGCCTAGATCCCTGAGAGGGGGAGAGAGAGACCCAGTTACAAGTTGAATGTACACAGTATGCTGAAAAAAATCTCAACATAAAAGAGCCTCTTGATAATAATATATAAAATCTGCAGGATCACCGCCATGCAAAAAAAAAAAAGTGAAGATTTCACTTTAAGCTGCACATAGAGCAATTTCTAGTGGGTTGGTTCCTAAACAGCTAGAGGAAGAAGGGTAAATGTATTTAGCAGGGTGGCACACACATTTGAAAAATACTACAATTTTTTAAACAATTGATATTTTAATGAACATTGTTGTCAGTTGTTTAAGTAGCATTGTGGTGGTGAAGGGCTCTATTCTTGCTTTTTTCACATACATGCATCTTTATTCTGGATTTTCAGTTTAGCTGGATAAGTGTATGATCCGTTCTGTGTTCTACTCAAACAATGTTCACACTGGTGATCCTGCTCTGTCCTCCAGGCAGTGTTTAGGTTATTAGAGATTAAATGGGCATTCCCTTTATTGACCAAATGAAGGGAAAGTATAGAGTTAAACATTTCATATACACTTGACATCACAGGGTCTTGTTTTTTTATATTGGTTGGGCAGCCTCCACCACTGGTTAGTGCATGGAAAACGTGAGGCTTGGCATGCTCTGCTTGTCTCAACAGATCTACCACCACTGCTGTTCTTGATGTGTGATGAGCTGTAGCATTAGATCTGCAGTTGCCAAAGCTAAGTCTCCAGAGATAGGTCAGACATTCACTCTATCAAACAGTTGCAAACTCTTTTGGGCTCTCCACCTCTATAAAATTACTCTATATGGGCCAACTTCAGCATTAATGGAGAGCTGGATTGCCTTTCCAATGGGTAGGTTTGATCGTGAACAATGAGTGAAAAAGAAGATATGAATGCATGAAGTTAAAGACAAGTCAGGTTCTCGCTTACACACTACAAAAATGGTTGGAAAATGCATTAATTTGAAATATGTCCCCTATTATGCTCCCAAGGTCAGTAAGACCCCCTTGTGCTTGATTATATAAGTTCTGGTCATGTTAGCCAAAGAGACCGGATGTTTACAAGGTATTTAGGTGCTACACTCAGCATTGTAACACCTAACTAATTTAGGAGCCTAAATCTCATTTTCAAAAGGGATTTAGGCACATAGGAGCCAAAAGGTTACTGACCACCCTGAACTCAGCAGTGCCTAAATATCTTTAGCAATTTGGGCCAAGATATCTGTGATACCTCTTACATTTACACAGCCACGTTTCCCACAAATTCCCTGAAACAAAAACATAGGGTATAGAAATATGTAAATTGCTTGTTAGGCTAGTTCCCTCCTCTAACCCCCATTCACCTTGACACACGCACTTCCAGCATGTCAGTTGGGTGCCCTGAGATGCATAACACATATTCAGAAGGAGAATATAGACTCCATGTAGTTTCAGTGATCTGCAATAGCTGTACTTCTGATGTTAGTTACAGAAAGAAGATATCCTGGGACTAAGAATGGAGCCCTTAACTCAGAGTGAGAAATCATTACTAAAAAAGGATATATACCAATGGCCAGAATTTCTATATTTTATCATGTCCTTTATCCTAGCTACAATGTACATCATCCAAGACATTCAGGAACTACATATCAACCACTTGACTACACTTAAGTCAGGAAAATATCCAAATAAACTTTTAATTATGATACAATACTTATTACAGTAAAAATTGGCATTTTTTCTCTTCAAAAGCAGAAGCACCAGTCTTACATGTAACATATGGTATGAATGATATCTTAAGTGAAATACAGCATAATATAATGAGCAAATAGCATTTTAGTACAGAACATAATTTTTAAAAAAAATTTCATACACTGAAATCTGCTCAAATGGAAACAATGTCATGCTGAATTAAAAACTCCAGATTTTAAAAATCCAAATCAATCAGAAAATGATGTACTGCTGAATAGATATATGAATAATTAAAATGATAAATATCCAAAAAAAGGCTAGAGAGGGCATTGTCATACAAACATGACTAGTGTTCAGATTCCCTCCCACCCCCACCCCCATAAATAAATACATAAATAATGGTGCAATGCTTTTGTTGGAAAGTAAAGTGACCTTTTAATATTTAAGAAGTATTTTTCAAATGTTGATGTAGTTTTAATGTTGTAAAAATCAAGTTATAAATCAGACAATTTTTACTGTCTTATTTTCAACACACTTCCGTTATTATGAGTGGACTGTGAAAAGAGATGATGTCCAGTGTAGTGAATATACATCAGCTTCATCATCATGTGATTTCTGCAAAGGCCGTGATGTGGTTCTAGAAATTAAAAAAAAAAAAAAAAAAAAAGCACACAGTTAGCTATGTATAATCATCATAACAAAGATTATTCCTATTTTTGGCTTTTGAAACATTCTTATGCTTGGAGAGTTTTGTAGTATAATGTAAATAAAAATGTTCCTAATTGCAGTGCTGTCCATCCCTTGCCATAGCAAATCTTTTTTTAAATATTGCAAAAATTGCATACATAAGTACAGTGACCAAAGTAACTCAGTGATATAGTTCTACAACATTTTAGCTTGTAATGTATTTTTCATTTAATAATTTGAATACTTAAATTAGTAGTTTTATCGCTGTCTTATTTATAATTAAAAGCTAAATTTATGGGAATGCAAACTGCTGCCTGACAGCTGATAGTATTCTGTTTTAGTGTTAATTACAATTTTAATGTTGTGTTTCTTTTTAAGTTTAATTGCTCCCTGTGAGCCAGATGGCATGGAATGAAGTAGTGAAATGCTAGAATTCACTAGTTGATAGAACATATTAAAAATTGCATCATTTGCAATGTTCTTCTGTTGCTTCCTTCAACAAGTGTATTCTTTAAGCGTGTGTGTATGTATATGTAACAGGTTTTACTTCACTTTTTACTTAAAACACAACACAGTAAAAAACTGTAGTGTCCAGCATAATTATGTGGTCCATTGTCATGCTCCAGTCTGAAACTACTTATGCAGGTGGGTAACTTGACTACACTTTCCACAGCATACATCCGATGAAGTGAGCTGTAGCTCACGAAAGCTTATGCTCAGATAAATTGGTTAGTCTCTAAGGTGCCACAAGTCCTCCTTTTCTTTTTAACTCACATGAGTCTCATTCACATACCTGCTGAAGTGTTTGCATTGGTCCCTAGTGGTGGGATTCTGCAAGGCACTGACAGCCTATTCTGTGGTACCACCTGTTCTCAACTCCTATTGTCTTCAACATACAATCTCTTTTCTAAGGAATTGTTTAAGCCACCACCATGAAACATGTTTTAAACAGACAAAATGAAACACAGTCCTATTGATATAGGTCCCTATGCATCTCCTCCCATGTGAAAATGCATGGAGGAAAATTTAATCTGGAAGTACTGCAGATTTTGGTGTACTGCTGTAGGATCACATCTTTTCTCTTGCCACCTTCTCATATTCCACAGCAGTAGGACCCCAAGTAACGTGGAGACAGTGCAAGGCAAGAAAAATGGGTAAAGGATATGAAAGAAACTCTGTACATGCCTTATCCTACTGTCACTTAGTTTGACTCTCCTAGGTGCTCCTTCCATCATCATCTCTCTTTGCCAGCAACACTCCTAACTGTGTTCTCAATTTCTCTCAGGCTGTGGGCTGGTTTTGTGACTCATGTGATGGGTTTCAGAGCTCACATAAGGGTCATTCATATTGCACCATCCTTACTTTTTAGGAGGAATGTAATCTGTGCAGGAGAGGAAAGGTGCTGTTTAAAGTGCAAATTTCTTAGCTCTTCCTTTAGACCAGTCTCCTATGGGGATAGGGGCATTTTATGGAAGGGAATGTAGTAGTTACCCATCGGAGGTGGAGAGATGGAACATCCTACCATTACACCCTAGGTCCCTCTACCTCTAACCCCAGTCATGCTGGTGACTTTGTTCCTGGCCTCGCAGCAAAGGGACATAACTATGTTTTATTTAGTGAGGTAGAGGGAGGGGAAATAACCCATGTTTTCTATTATGGATTTTTAAAAAAATACTGGAATAAAAAAGAAAAGCTTTTGGATTTCTGTAAAGTCTCTGTTTTAATGTTACTCAAAAAGATAACAAAAATGCTTTAAACAAATGACAGTTGATTAAATGGCTAGCAAATTACTTTCTCTAATGATCATTTTGGATTATGACAGAACTTGATGTGAAGAAGTTTTCAGAGTTTAACAGTGTTAATACTTGGCAGAGGTTTCTGGACTGTCGTCAATAAAACAGAAATAAAATTAGATTTCTGAAATGGAAAACAACATATTAAGATGAAGCTCAGGGAACTATTTACGTACTGGGCCAAATTCTGCTCTCATTTATGCTTGTGCCACCCCACTGAACCCAAAGCAGTTGTAGGGAATTATGACATTTGGCCCAATGTATTTATATTTGACACCTATTTAGACCTGAAAAATGATACTGTCAACTTAATCTGATTATTGTTATAACAATAGATAAACTATGTTTAGACAGCAAACGCCTCATTGAAAGAGATTAGAGAAAAAAATTTTACTCTTTTTTCTTTAGGTAACATTTTCAGAAAATGGGACTTAGGTAATTTTGAACATTTTACCCTTTGCATACTTGATGATACTTTACATTAATTTCTCCTGTTGTTTTATGTGGATTTTTCACATCGCAACAGAGAAAAGGAAACATATGCTGGCAGGTACCCCTGGTGTAGAAGGTGTAGAACTGAAACTGCTTAGTTCATTGTTTTGAAATGGGCTAGATTTTCACTCTAGAGATACAGTGCTCTTCCACAGAAGTATCCAATGGAGGGGTTAGTGGAACCCAGACTGGTGGACAACACTGAGTTTCATGGACATCTTTTCCCTTGGGGGGGGGGGGAAGGAAGCAGGAGTTATGGCCTTCCAAAACCACAGATCCTTGGGATCCCCATGAAAGGGAACACAGTCCTGCAGATAACTGAGCCACCTGCACTTCTCTGGTAGCACACCTACTGTGCATAATGCCCCTGAGGGAGTGAGAGAGAGGGAGAGAGAATGCACAGAGTCCAAGTTTAATGCTGTTTCAGTTGACATTACTTTAGGAGTGGATACCTACTGCTTAAGGAAAAGAGAATGCCAATGACAGTAGCTTCATCCTCCTACCTCTAAAAATGAGCTGGTCACCAAACCCCTAGCTCACACACACAGATGCCTCTGTGTAGGCTCAGGGCAAAGGGTATCCTACTGAAGAGGAATTCCTGCACAAGATCCTCACCAAGATCTGCTAACTTAGGATCCCTTCCAGTTATGGAGAGGTTGATCGTGTGAACATCCTTAAAACTTGCCCAGTTATCTTTAATGGATTTTGCAAGATGCCATTTTAAATAGATCAAAAGTAATGACTTTCTTGTGCCAAGACTGATTAGTACTGATGCATGCAAGTGTGGCACCGTTCGTGCTTTCAGATATAGCCTTCTCAGACATAGATTCTGAGGAAGGATGATATTTAGAGAAAAAATAGACTCCCTCTAGAATAAGTGACTCTTCAGTTGCTTTACCATGCCCTTTTACTTCAGTTTAGCTTTATTATGACAGAGAATTCAGTGTATGAAATTTGCAACAATACCAGCAGTTAAGGCGCACACAGATGCAACAGACAAACAAAAACACATGCATGAGAGCTCAAATCCTCAAACTCCATGGGAAACAGTTATACCACTCAGTGCTCAAAAGAATTAGGATACAGTTGGGTTCTGTTAAATTTTAGCAGTTTTACACATTGGTACACTGTTTTGTGTTATTTTAAATTGACAGGTTTCAGAGTAACAGCCGTGTTAGTCTGTATTCGCAAAAAGAAAAGGAGTACTTGTGGCACCTTAGAGACTAACCAATTTATTTGAGCATGAGCTTTCGTGAGCTACAGCTCACTTCATCGGATGCATACCGTGGAAACTGCAGCAGACATTATATATACACAGAGAATCTGAAACAATACCTCCTCCCACCCCACTGTCCTGCTGGTAATAGCTTATCTAAAGTGATCATCAGGTTGGGCCATTTCCAGCACAAATCCAGGTTTTCTCCCATCCCCCCCACCCCCATACACACACAAACTCACTCTCCTGCTGGTAATATCTCATCCAAACTGACCACTCTCCAAGTTTAAATCCAAGTTAAACCAGAACATCTGGGGGGGGGGGTAGGAAAAAACAAGAGGAAATAGGCTACCTTGCATAATGACTTAGCCACTCCCAGTCTCTATTTAAGCCTAAATTAATAGTATCCTATTAAATACTATCAAATAGTATCAAATACTATTAATTTAGGCTTAAATAGAGACTGGGAGTGGCTAAGTCATTATGCAAGGTAGCCTATTTCCTCTTGTTTTTTCCTACCCCCCCCGCCCCCAGATGTTCTGGTTTAACTTGGATTTAAACTTGGAGAGTGGTCAGTTTGGATGAGCTATTACCAGCAGGAGAGTGAGTTTGTGTGTGTATGGGGGTGGGGGGGATGGGAGAAAACCTGGATTTGTGCTGGAAATGGCCCACCTTGATTATCATAAAGAAAAGGAGTACTTGTGGCACCTTAGAGACTAACCAATTTATTTGAGCATGAGCTTTCGTGAGCTACAGAGCTGTAGCTCACGAAAGCTCATGCTCAACTAAATTGGTTAGTCTCTAAGGTGCCACAAGTACTCCTTTTCTTTTTGCGAATACAGACTAACATGGCTGTTACTCTGAAACTTGATTATCATGCACATTGTAGGGAGAATGGTCACTTTGGATGAGCTATTACCAGCAGGATAGTGAGTTTGTGTGTGTGGTTTTTGGGAGGGGGGGTGAGGGAACCTGGATTTGTGCAGGAAATGGCCCAACTTGATTATCATGCACATTGTGTAAAGAGTTGTCACTTTGGATGGGCTATCACCAGCAGGAGAGTGAATTTGTGTGGGGGGGTGGAGGGTGAGAAAACCTGGATTTGTGCTGGAAATGGCCCAACCTGATGATCACTTTAGATAAGCTATTACCAGCAGGACAGTGGGGTGGGAGGAGGTATTGTTTCATATTCTCTGTGTATATATAAAGTCTGCTGCAGTTTCCACGGTATGCATCCGATGAAGTGAGCTGTAGCTCACGAAAGCTCATGCTCAAATAAATTGGTTAGTCTCTAAGGTGCCACAAGTACTCCTTTTCTTTTTTTAAATTGACAGTGTGAAGTTTGTGGAAGCAGAAAGAGAAGATTTTAAACACTTCATGCTTTGTAATTATTCCTTCAAACCAATAAAAACTAGAAAAGTTAAATGCTAAAAGTTAAACCTTGAGTGC